CAAATTAACTTTTCAGAGTGTTCCCATGTAACTACGCCCCAATTACTGCTGGTGCAAATTCTCTAATTCCAATGACAGCCCACTCATTTTGTTATACCCTCAAAATGCCAGACTGCACCCACCATTCTGCTGATCTACAGGCAGAATGGGCTGTACCTCCCTGCCAAATACCAAACTTCAATTATCAAATACCCTCTGTTTCTTCCCCAACAGAAGGACATATTTTACCGCTATTCAAACAGGACCTCCAAAGTATAATATTAATCTCCTTTTTGGCAGGTTACAATACTAACACAATAAGAATTTTAGCATCCAATTGAACTGTAATACCTACACTGCAACATAACATTTTGCAGTTCAATTGCAAGCAGAAAAAAATACATTTTTTAAAAATAAAAAGCATGAAATTACACTACAACTGTTAATTAATCCAGAGACCTGTTTGACAGTTATTTTAGAAATAGATCACAAACTCTTGCAGGAAAAAGAATTAAATACAAGTAAGCTTTTGTTTACAATTGTAGAGCTGCAAAGATTGTGGCCAAGTTTAAAAAAATAGAAATAAACAACAACAAAAAGTCTGTTTTCCCTTGACACAATTATTTCACTAACTTTGGTCTCCACTACCTTCAAACCATAGGATATGAATCACTAGGCTAAGCACGGAGTCACTGATCCATTTTAACTTGTGTTATAGGCAAATGGGAATGCATACAAATTCCTTAAGCCTAACATCCCAGAAGGTAGCTCTACCCTACTCCTCCTAACCATCCTATAGCTGGTCTCCAAAGCAGTAGGTAAGGATCAGAGTGTGGGTCTATACAAAGAGATACACTTGGACAACATGAGTTACCAGTTAGTAAGCATCCCCTTTCCTATATGATTTTACCTCTGCAAACCCATAAGACTAAAAACTCCTTAAGGAAATTGATGATGCAAATCAAACTCCATACAGCAGTACTAGAGGTTTCAGATCACTGCTACATCTGCAGCTTCTATCACTTGACCGAAAGAGGCCTTTAAAAGCCAGGAAACAGCTACTTTTTAGCATGGCTTGATGCAGTACCATCCATTTGGACTGCCTGCGCCATATTAGCATGATCTTTACATTTTTCTCAAAAGACAACAATAAGTAACTTAAGACTTTTCTAAATAACCAAGTTTTGCTTATGTAATAGCAAAGGAAATT